TTTAATATAGGAGGAGGGGAGCTGGCAGAGGAGAGATTGGTGGCTGCTGGAGGGGACAGAAGTTGGGGGTCTGGGTGAGAAAGGTGATGTGATTGAGAAGTATAGATTGGTAGTTACAAAATAGTCACAGGGAACATATGTTCCCTAAATCACAGCATAGGGAACAAAGTCAATAATATTGTAATAACTGTGTGTGGTGCAAGTGGGTCTTGGAAATATCAGGGAGATCACTTTGTGAAATATATGGGTTTTTTTTCTAAATTTTTTTCTTTTTTTTCTTTTTTTAATATATTTTATTGATTTTTTAGAGAGAGGAAGGAAGAGAGATAGAGAGTCAGAAACATCGATGAGAGAGAAACATCGATCAGCTGCCTCCTGCACATCTCCTACTGGGGATGTGCCTGCAACCCAGGTACATGCCCTTGACCAGAATCGAACCCGGGACCCCCCAGTCCGCAGGCCGACGCTCTATCCACTGAGCCAAACCGGTTTCGGCAAACATATGATTTTCTAACCACTATGCTGTACACTTGAACCTAATACAAAATAATAGTCAATGTAAACTGTAATTGAACAATAAAATCATATATGTATATATATGTATATGTATATATATGTATGTGTATGTGTATGTGTATGTGTATGTAGATGTATATGTATATGTATATGTATATGTATATGTGGTAGAGGAGGTGAGATACTATGTTTTATATTGTTGCTGCAGGTCATGATGGAAGCTTCTATCAGGCAGGAGTTATAGAAACTCAAGCAGAGTGAGGAATATAATTCACCAAGCCTAAAAGAGATTCTAGAACCCCGCTTTTTCTATCTGGGTTTAGGACCCTGTTTAGGAGTCTGGTCTATTGGTAGGCTTCCAGGATTTTCCCTTCTAAGTAAGGGTTGGTTTGTCTAGGAGACTGTGGGTCCTTCTTCCAGTAATGGGAGTCAGGGCCAGTAAAAGGGACTCACAAGAGCTAGGTATGGGACTAATCAGGAGATCAGACCAGGGCCATATTCCTAGCATGATACTAGAGAGATAACATGGAGGGTTAAAGCTGGTGAGAACACCTGTCTGTTCTGGGGCTCAATCCAGATGTTGTAGGCTCACATGCACACAGGTGCTCTGGACTATTGCTCAGGAACAGGGGCCCTTGCAAGCCACATGGACAAGTGTTGAAGTGAAATGGGCCTGAATTACAACCTCAGCTCCACCTCTTATAGCCTCTCAAAGCTTGTTTCTTATCAGTATTCCTTGACTCCCTGAGACTTGTTCACCTCATCCTGAAAATGAAAGTGATAATACTTATCTCACAATTTATGGGAATTAAAAAATGCCTTGCCAGGCAGAGCAGGTGGCAGTCAGGGAAGCAGGACAGGGACTTGTGTTGAGGTATCCAGAATATATGCTAAGTTCAAGGTTTCCCTGTCACTTGGCAGCTGAGGGTCCGATGCCAGGAAGTACTGAGCTGGAAACCAGCAGTAATGACACCAAATGTAAACACTATCTCATTTGCAAGTGTTGCTATTGGTCCTGCTTTTGTCCTTCCAAAGAGCTTGAGATAGATGTTGGTCAACTACACCAGTAGCTATGGAAACCTGAGGAAGTTACAGAAACTTTCTTGACCTTGATTTCCTCATATGTTTACTAATTATATAAGATTTTTGCATCTGTGTTCCAATGGCCTTTGATTACTGTGTATTTGAGCAATTTGGGCATCAATAATAAATCAGCTTCATAAAGTAAGTTGGGAAATTTCCTTTTTGTCACTTCTCTGTGATGGTTTGCATGAAATAAATTCTGCTATACCTTGAAAGACTAGCAAAACTTGCTACTAAAACCATCTTTATTTTCTTAGGGTAGCGATTTGACAACTGAATCAATTTATCTACACTAATAAAAGAGAAAAATGGTAATTGGCGTACAACGCTACCCTTTTCATTGGCTAATCAGGGCTATATGCAAATTAACTGCCAACTAAGATTGGCAGTTAACTGCCAACAAGATGGCGGTTAACTGCCAACAAGATGGCGGTTAATTTGCATATGTAGGCACAAGGCAGGGAGGTGAAAGGGAAAGCAGGAAGAACCCCCCTGCCACTGACAGTGATCGGAAACCCTGAGGCCGCCTTTGCCCTGTCCCCCAGCCATGATCGGAGAATCAGGCGCCTTTGCCGCCCTGGCCAGTGATAGCAGGAAGTAGGGGTG